CTGTTCAAACTTACATGGAACAAATCCAGATGAAGCGTTCATTTTTCGCTTAGTTTTATGCACGAACACACCTACTTGGCGACAAGTATCCGAGTGGTCATGATTTTGTTAGCTTGCCACAACGAATGTGGTTTAGGGGGTCACAATCAAGGGAGCAGGTTGGAAGGTACTCAAGTCGTGATGGAAGAATGCACCGTAGAGCTGAAACTACATCTCACAAACTCGTAGCATGGTACCAATTAAACTATTTTGGTATGATTCCGCGGACTTTAGTCCTACTAGTCACTGTAGACCGTTTCGCTAACTTGAGTAAAAAGCGGACCTCCGAATCTAGTGTTTAATTGAATTGCATTGTTATCTGCTTAGTCAAGTGTTTTTACAATGAATACGTGCTCATCAGTTGTCATCTGGGGATCACTCGTCTCTGCCCTTCTACCAATCTGCACACAATATCGATCCATTGCAGAAACGCACAACCGACCCTTTCAAAAGAACACGTCAGCTGAGAAGATGTGTTCATACTAACTGCTAATACACTTTAGAATGAGTGTGTGCTGACTGCTTGGTAGCTTTTGATTCACCTCTGCATGAACAACTCATTTATCTTTTGACCACCACCCTTCAAAAAATCAAAATTTTGCCAATCGAAGAACCACGTTTTAGTTTTTATTAAACTTCGATGCCTGGCGGAAGTGACGCGAAATAAGCAGATTGGTGATAGCACTGTTGTGGTGATGAGGGCGCTTCCAGACCACATTCCGGGGACCGCTGCGTGTGAATCCACGTGTGCGGTTGAAGGTGTGCGTCCGGCCCTCCCTGTGGCGATTTTTGTGTGGAAAAAGCGGGTGAGGGAGAAATTTCGCTTACCCACCAACTGCTACCGCTTGTCAACTTCAAAAATCGCACGTACATAACCTAACGGGAATGGCATTCCTGTGTGGCGCCAAATCATGCACTCACACGCACACATAAATGCGCATTGTTCTGTGAATTTCTACGGGCGTTGACTGTGTCAGTGTGTGTATGGCATTATTTGCATTGATAAGAAAAGCGTCCATTGTTGACAACTTGACATCTCGAGGTCACAGCGGCCTAACGAAGACGTGGCCGACCTCAGGTTGCCTGTCACATGACCACACCGGACCACAAAATCTGGATCAGTGATGGCGTTGTTTGCGAGAGGGTCCACCTTCAAGGAATCAACTCATAGTCGGGTCAAGGCTCGCACAAGGAGATCCTGACAGCAGCCGAGGATTAGTTGCAGGCAACTGGCAGTGTTCAGGTGTTCACTTTGCCCACTTGCTGCAAGACAGATGTTTTGAAGGTCAGAGAGAGAGAGAGAGTATAGGCTAAAGGGACTTGTAGCACTTGGGATAGTTTAGAGTCGGAGCAAATTTCGATAGGAGACCTCCGCACAGGACACAAGCAGCACAGGAGGGATAAATAAGATACCCAACTATCTTTGAGCCAGCGAAAAGTTAGCTAAATGAATGTTGGGATGCCATTCTGAGAAGTACTATAAGAAAATATCAGTTTTGTTAAACGATGAAGCAAATTGAATACGCCAATTTCACAATCTGGACAATGTCTTTTGATAGTGGTGGTGGTGGGGATTTGGATTCACAGCTAATCAAATCGCCACCAGCACTAGCAACCTTGTCAGTGCCAAACCATGGGCATCGAAAGAGACAGACAATGAGGACATGTGTCTTAGAGAAATTGAATGCCACGTGTGAATACTACGATACACAAAACGATCACGTTTTTGTGCATTTCGTTGCAACGTTTTTGAATTTCATAGAAACTGATTCATAGCCAAATTCAACACGGCACCTTGCCCATGTCTATGAACTAGCTCACCACACCCATCGGCTGTTACCTCTGTCACGTTACAATGCACGCACTGATGATATCTAGAGCAAAGTGCGCCGTATTTTGCCTAACACCAACCAACGACGTACCTCAACTCAATCGAAGCTATGGCGTACGGATCGTGTGGAACG